TTACGTTACTTAACAGCCAGTAACACAACAACTCGATGTTTCATGTTTTTCACGCAGTCCACTCCTAAAGTGAAGGGTTTGTCTAAGAAAGAAGGGGCCAAGAGGAAGATCAACATGAGCGGCTACATCCTGTTCAGCAGTGAAATGCGAGCGGTCATCAAAGCCCGACACCCGGACTTTTCCTTCGGGGAGCTGAGTCGACTCGTGGGCACAGAGTGGAGGAACCTGGAAGCCACCAAGAAAGCCGACTACGAAGGTCGGGATATAAATTTGACGTGTAATTCCAGTGTTTATTCAAACGTCGTAGCCCTCGTCTCTGTGTTTGTAATTACTTTGGTGTTTTGTCTCAGAACGCGCCGCCAAAATAGTGGAGCAGCAAGAACGGGACAGGCCACCCCAGAAGCAAGCATCTCCCAGAGCAGGTACCCCAGTAGGGGCAATGATGGGAGTGGTGCCTTCGCCTAGCACTATGGGAATGATAAACCAGTCCATGACACCTGTGTCAGGTAACCCCTCTCAGAGACAGCACGAGTGTTTGGCAACAAGACAGCAGAGCATTGAGGCAGGACTATTTAATCCTCTGGTTTTCTAACACATTTATTTAAACATTTAGTTTAACGTTCACCAAGCTAAAGATTCTTATTTTGCACTTATTCCATATTGTTCTTTGTTTTGTTTTTTTAACTTTACCACTGCCTTCATGTTTCACAGTGCATGACGTTGACTGCATGATGATTTTATTTGTTTGAGTAACTTTTTAACTTTCATGCTTATTTTCGTGCTAACTCTTCATTAACTTTTTTTTTGCCCCTTTCACACTATTTATCTAAAGTAACAACTAATCTGAGAAACATCGAGAAACAGGTGTAATGTCGAGCGATGGCCCAGTGAGGGCGCCAAGAATGAAAGTTCTTACAGTCAGTTTTTATTTTTATTTTTAAAGATAATTCCAGTCCAAACCACATCAAATTCTTCTATAGTAACAAAAACTATTGAATTTGAAACTATCGTCACGTTATTCATAATGTAAAAAAAAAGGGATAAATTAGATTTCATTATATAAATAAATAAATAAAACA